CCAATTGACCAAACTGCGGACTAAATATTTGCTAAATCACTCTACCTAGCCACGTTCAGTTTGTTGCTACCGCCTTACCTACAGTAGCAAAACCATATTCCAGTCTGTCTACCTCAGCACCTCTCTACATGCTTCTCAAACTGCCTACTTAAATGGTCGCCTACCTACCAAGCCACCAAAAACCAAATCCTACCTATTAGATAAATGTATCAACCAATATCGAAAACAGCCACCGAGCTTTCCACCTAGCGCACCTTCTTAACCCTCATATGGTACTGCACGGATATCATACCTACCTCTGGAATACGGATCGTTACGACACAATCTCTCGAATTATGTAGATTGGTTGATGATTGCACCTGGAAGCAAAACCATATTCCAGTCTGTCTACCTCAGCACCTCCCTACATGCTTCCCAAACTGTCTACTTAAATGTCTGCCTCCCTACCAAGCCACCAAAAACCAAATCCTACCTACTAGATAAATGTATCTACCAACATCGAAAACAACTACCGAGCTTTCTACCTAGCGCACTTTCTTAAAGAAGATTAAATCATACCGACCTCTGGAATACGGATCGTTATAACACAATTTCTGGAATAATGTGGATTGGTTGATGATTGCACCTGGAAGCACGTGGGGAAATAAAAGCTGCAACCAAACCACCCTTTGTGGTTTCGGATTCTGTAAACCTCTTGGGTTGGCTACCGTATAAAAATCAATCTGACTGTCGGTCCGGTACGGGGATGTAATCCATCAAGAGTTTGGAAGAATGTGGGTTGTAGACTGGTAAAAGTGGTTTACTGACTGTTTGCTGATGACCTGAAAAGCAACAGAACAATTGAAAGGCTTGAATGACTCAACCCATTATTCGCAAAACAATCCACCCGATCTTGAGACGTGCAACTTTCACGGTCTGCCTTTCATCTGGCCCGGCCTGAAAGTGCCCCAGTCTTTTTCAAGGAAACCTTAACGAGCCAAAAGCAGCTCTGCCGCTCGCACTCACATCAAGAGTTTGGAAGAATGTGGGTTGTAGACTGGTAAAAGTGGTTTACTGACTGTTTGCTGATGACCTGAAAAGCAATGACTCAACCCATTATTCGAAAAACAATCCACCCGATCTTGAGACGCGCAACTTTCACGGTCTGCCTTTCATCTGGCCCAGCCTGAAAGTGCCCAAGTCTTTTTCAAGGAAACGTTAACGAGCCAAAAGCAGCTCTGCCGCTCGCACTCACTGACCCCGTGCAAATTTGTTTTGTCAAGCGCAAGGTCATCACCTTCAGTTCTGTCAGCTTTGTCATCTACCCATCCAAACAGACTGCCATTTATTTCAAGGTCTATGCGTTTGCTGATCTAACAGGGAGCAAATCATTGCTGTTGATGGTCGTTTTAGTGAGTCAGATTTTTTTTTTTGAAAAAACGAAGTCGAGTTCAGACACCTGTAAATCTGCTCAAGTATACTGTAGTGTTTTAGTCATGTTTGTTTTTGTTCTTTACTTCCAACCACTGATCTGCATCAGGCTAGCATAACTCAACCTCCCTTTTAACTTTTTGTTTTATTTTTTTAATTTAAATATTTTTTTTAATTCTGGGCAGATGGTAGGTAGATCGTTTACATAGAGACTGAACAGAATTGGGCCCAAGATAGAGCCTTGGGGTACCCACACCCAAGGTAAGGTGACATTGAGTTTCCGATTTGAATGGTCTGTTTTCTATTTGACAAGTATGATCTCATCCAGCAGAGTGCACCATCAGAGAAGTCAATGTAGGACATTTTTGAAATGACGGATTAATGTTGTGCTCCGCCAAGCTTCTATGTGCAATTTTATTGAAACATTCTCTCAGGCAAACAATTGTTGTCAGATTCACTTGAAGTCTGCTTATGGTTTTGTCGCCAAAACCTTTCCAGAGTCGGGGGTCGTCGTTTTCGTCGATGTAGAGATGTGTGACAAATATGCGTACGTTTCCCTTTTCACGCTCATCTTTTTTTTTCTGTTAATGCATGTTGATTTACGTTTACATATATATAGTTTCATACATTAACTCATTCGTTGCCAGCTATTTTCAGACCCTTCTTTACCCTACCAATTGAAAACATTTTAAATACCTAAAGTGGTTCTTGGGATTGAATGCTTGGGTTCTTAAGAAACCTGCTTGGCATTGAATGAGTTAAACTCCCATGTAGTGCTTTCTACTCAAATGTTGCCAACCCAGGGTTTGAAGACCCTTGTGGGCATGCTGTTAGTGTAAGAAGTGCACATCATTTGATAAATTTGGATTTGAATTCAGCGAATAAGATGAATATGATTCCACCTTGATGCGTCCCATAAAGGTGGAAATTTGCAGAAGGTTGTAAATATTTGGTTTGAAATGCTGCAGAAATGTGAGATTCCCTTGACATTTAGTGCTGCACATGCTAGCCGTGTTTCATCGGATTATCAAAGAGGCCTGATCCCCCCCAAAAAATGAAAACTCGGGTTTATCTAAGTTCAGCAAAAATTTCTGATTCCTGAGACAGTTTACACATATGGCTCTTTTTTTCAATCATCAGTACAGCAAAATGCGAGCGTTTTTCACACATGGTTGCTAAAGATACATGCCTATTTTACCCTTTCAAAAAATAAATACTTAGGTGTGCACCATTTTGAATTCAATTAATTCCAAAGGCCAAACAACAAAACAACACATTACCGTCAGACTGAAATCAATGTAGCACGTCTCGGCTGAGTAATGAGCTGCTGTGCCTTGGTGTCACATAAATACTCTTTGAATAGAAATCAGGTTAGCTTCACTGCTGTGCGTTTGATTTGTCAGTCACACAAATGTACGACTGGCGCGTGGGCGTCGTCACGTTTATGAAATCATTCGAACAGCCGTTTTTTTTTTCTTCTTCAAAGTGCTGCCAGCGACCACAAACTTGTTTTGTCATTGTTGACCCTTTTGTCAACTTTGCCTCTTCATTAATAGCTCCGCCCACTCCCCCGCGCCCGTGTGTCCAACCAATCAGCTCCTTTCCTTTCAATGCGTCTCCTGTCTGTCTCGTTTGAGTTGCTGTCCATGCACTGTGATTTCTCACCATTTGTAATTCATAAAAAAAGAAGAATAAAAAACTGATTTGCTCCCATGACAGACACTTAATAATTCCATCATGAATTCCTTTTTACCACAGAATGCAATCAGAATGGTAAAACAAACATGATTATGGTCAAATGGGACACCAAATAATGAATAGCTTGTGGCTTTTTCGTGGCGTGGGTGATCAATGTAAAGTCTTTTCACCCGCTGGGATCGAGCCTTTTCTGTTGCTGGTCCCTCTCTCTGGAATGACCTCCCAGTGAACATTCGGCAAGCCCCCTCGCTACCCATCTTTAAAACCCGCCTCAAAACTCACTTGTATTCTTTGGCATTTGACTCAGCATGACTCAGATCTGATCTTAGTTTTACTGTTTGGTGCCTTTTACCATCTTTGTTACTGATTTATCGCTTTATTGTTGTATATATGTTAGTCGCTCCATGTACAGCACTTTGTATGCAGCGATGGCTGTTTGAAAGTGCTCTATAAATACAGTTGAGTTGAGCTGGAACGCATTGCGGTGCAACTTCCCGCATCTTCATTCTAGCCGCGGAATGCAGACAGCAGGTCACAACTCTTAGTCGCAGTCTCTTAAGCCAAACTTACACCTTTCCTGTATTTCCTTTCACGCTGCATCCGTTCCGCCCCTGGATTTGGAAATCATAACCCCCCTTCCGCGTGGGTCCATTACCCACCAGGAAAAAGCCAGTATGAGGGCCAGTATGAAAAGGCGTCAAATTGGATTTCTCCAAAATGACTGCCTTAATGCATTTACTCTCTGCTGTTTTATAAGCCCCCCTCCCCCACCCCCATATTGAAATCCATTTTAGAGCATTTTGACTGGTCTAATATGGGAAATAATATCGATGCCATTTTGCCCATTCCAGGTGGTCATATATATTGAAAGTCAGATCTTAAATTCAATTCATGTGTTTTTGGGACGCCCCCCCATGAATCAGTCGGCTGTTGAAATGTCTCCTGTGGGTCAAATAAAGGAATGGCACCATCTTGATAGGGCACTTGTTGAGAAACACAAACGTTTGGAGCACAGTAGGCCGTCCTGGTAATGTACCAGTTGAGGCTGCAACATGAACCGGTGAAGTGCATCCCGAACAAGCCCATCTAACATCTCGGAGATGAACGCCTCCCCACACCCACCTCCCAGAGGAGCAAGCGTGTCCCATTACTTATGAGTCGGCTGCCGTCCACATGGTGAGGTTACCTCGCTGTTTGCTGTTCGATATTACCTCGAGCTTGCGGCTTCATAACAACTAATCCCCTTGCTGAGGAGGAATCGAGTCTCGCTCCGGTGTGGAATTGCAAAGGCGTTCCTCTGGCGCCAAACAAAAATGGAGGACTAATAAATCTTCCGGGCAGGTGAAGGGAGACGCGCTCAGAGACGGGAAAAAATGTTATTTCAACAGTTAAGTGCGTGTGCTCGTGTGTGTGTGCGCGTGTGCGTGTGGGACATTGGCAAATACACTACTCATAAAACGTTAGGTGTATTCTGCTTTTGAGTGAAATTTCAGCATGTACCTCCAGTACAGGGTCCATTTTAGGCTCATCCTGAAATTTCAGGGTACTCCAAATTTTTAGTGAGTACAGTGCACCGCCATTTGCAGATTTTTATATATTTTTTTTTAGGGGCCCCTGTAAAAAAATTAATTTAAAAATGCCTCATACAACTAAACGTCTTCCAATATATTGCTAAAAACAGAAACAACTCCTGAGTTGAGTTGAAGAGCCAAGTGAGGGATTTTCCAAAGGTTTTCTTGGTTATAACCAAAATAACTTCATCATTTCTTACCGAAATAGCTTTGGTATCGCTCTGCCAAAAACGGTGCTTTTAGGCATTTCCCGTTTGCTTTTAGTCATTTCCACGTTGACAACATCCACTTCCCATCTCTTGTCCCCCCCCCCCCTGACAGGACTCTGTGAACCATCCGGCAGAGCCCTTGAACCCGACCGAGTACATGAGCCACCAGCGCGACGTGGAGCACCTGCCCGAGTGTCAGCCCCTCAACCCTCCGGCCCACCCGCCCGTCACCTTCCTGCCGCAGCACGCCTACGCCCAGCCGCCCTCCAACGAGCCCATGTACTCCAACACCGGCTTCTCCGCCCCCGCCGCCCCACGAGCGCCCTTCCCGAAGGAGCAATCCGTGTGACGCCGCCACGCAACAACAAGATCGGCTTAGCACTCCTTCCCCGCCACCCATCCCACTTCCTTCCGGCGTGGCGTCGTTTTCTACTGTGTACCGCAAAAGTTTGCCGACTCTTTCTCTAGCTCGTTGTCACCGTTTCGTAGCCCGACTTTTCTTTCCTGCTAAATTGCTTGCTCGCTTCCCTTTGCAACATCAACAAAACAAAAAAAAAATGAATGAAATATTACCTAATTGAAGAAAAAAAATGCTAATAGTAGACAGGAAAAATTGTCTTTGTAAGAGTGCTTAAAACAAGTCAACATACTTTGCCTAAAAACAAAAAAACAGCCGTCTTAAAACCGATCGACTCAAAGAATTATCGGGGTTCCCATGCAAGTACAAAATATGTTTCCAAGACTGCCTGCGCTATATCACGTACTTCTTTCCAGGCTTCTGGAAGCTATTTGGTGATGTAATTGCATGCACATTCAAAATAATGAAAACGATGATAAATGCTAAACCACTCTTTACGCAGATGTCACAAATTATTGTCATTTTTTAAAATATTTTTTTTTTACTAACTGGTCATTACAGTCTAGGGAAAAAAAGGATTGGAATTTAGATATTTAAAATATGGGAACCCTGAATGATGGTATTCGTGTTTTCATCTAAATTTTTATATAACTGGTGTTACAAACTCCAAAAGTTTAATTCCTGGAAGAAAATGCTCAAAGCAAGTAAAATGTTTGCCTGGTAGGAGGAAAGACAAAAAACAAGCACATTTTTTTTCTTGATTGGATAAACGTAATCTTGCTTAGATTTTAGTTGCTGGTTTACAGCTTTGTGGCATTTTCTACTATGTTTAAAAAAAAAAAAAATCTACTTCGTTCTTGACACTTTTGCTAGCTTGTTGACACCATTTCGTAACCACCTTTGCTTCATCCGTCAATCAAATTTCTTGCTTGCTCTCCCCTTGATGGCACTGCAAACATGGGTCTGAAAAAAACAAGACAAAAAGTAATGAAATGAAGGCTATAATCGTTTTGTTTTTATGTTTCTTTTTAGGATAGTTACAGGAAAATTTGGATGCGTCTAACAAGAAAGATTACAGTCTATAAAAAAATAAACGTATTCACAAAAAAAAAAAGGAGCTCTGCACTAATAAGGAAAATGTGCTTAAATCAAGTAAAAATTGTATTAAAAAATTTTAATCACTCGTCGGGCTCTTTAAGGAGAAAAAAAATGCTCGTGGCAAGTCAAATGCGCATATGTATTATCTTGGCAGATGCATCTTGCCTTAATTTGAGATATTTCATCTCTTCAATTTTGTTTTTGGCAATGATAGTGTACGTTTTCCATCGTTAGAAGTTGCAACAAAACCATCCGCCCGCCCTGTGACTGTTACGTGATGGTGAACCCTCTCGATGCTTTGCTGTTTTTGATGGACCTTTTTGGCTTGTTAGAGGTGAATGCTAGCACGTTTAGTTATGAGGAAACACACACACACGTTAAAAAACTAATAATAAAAAAAAAAAAGGGCTTGCGATGCGAGAGTATCCTTTCGTATTTCTCTAGTTCCATCTGCGCAAGGCATTCTTTGGTTTTTGTAAATACATATTTTCTAGTCGTAGTTGCCAAAGACACATACAGTAACTCCTTGTAACGTATCTCCATTTTTTTTTCTTAAAACGTGAGGCATACGATCACTTCGCATGCTATTTTCAAGTTTGTGGGGGGACAATCACTCGACTCCAGGGTTTCCCAACCTCTGTTATGCTGAGGCACATATTTTAAAATCTGAAAAAAAAATCTAAATTGATTAAAAAGTACTGATCCTCGGTAAATTTCCATCGGAGAATTTTGGAAATATTTCAAGTTGGAAAGTTTCCATGGCAGTGAACTGGGACTATTTGCCCAACCGGGCCTTGACAAGTCACCCCCAACGATGCATTCTTGGTTTAAGCTAGCAGGCAAGAACAACATCCGAGTATTCAATGTGTTCTTGGTTTATGCGTACTTTCATTTGGAATATGACCTGGGCCACCAAATGACGTTTCACCATATCACGAGAATCTACAGATTGGACAACGCCAAGTGAGAAATGGCTGTTGACTTTTATGGCAATTATTTAGTCATCATTTGCTGGTTTGCGACATTTTTAGCATTAGCTTTAGCAGTCCAGTTGGGGCTCAAATGTCATCTCGCTGTGTTAGAAAGTTGACGACAATTTGAAAGGCGAATAACTGACATTTTCTTGTTAGCAATGTCTTTAGCATTAGCATTGGGATTCCATTTGGAGGTAAAATGTGTTTATTTGAAAGTTGACAAGAATTTGAAAGGCCCGCTAACGACATCTACAGGACTTTATAGTCTTTTCACAACTACCAAAACATAGAACCTTTTAGCTTCAATTCCACGCTAACATCTCAGAATTAATGATTTTGAAGCGAACTGCCCTGTTTCTTGGTGGTAACATTGTCTAGAAACAATGGCTTTTGGGACTATTTCTCCTCCTTTTTTTTCCGAAAGAAGCCTGCCACTGTACAGAAGCACTTAGTGTCACTCATTGTGACACTTTATTGGAGACCATACATAAGCTAATACAACATCACACGTTAAAACGAACAAAAGTCCTCTCAACGTCGCAAATTTCTTTTTTTTTTGCTTTTGTTTTGATTGTTGTTTTTCTTTGTTTTTTGCCATGTCCGATGTATACAAAAAAAGTATATTTGTGTTTGTGCTAATGTGGAAAAAAAAAAACCAAACGTGTTGAAAGTGATATTTTTTTTTGTATGTACTGTAGTGGTTCTTAAAAGAGCGAGTAAGACTTCCTGCGGAGGAGATTGTTGTTGTTAGCGTACCACTGAAACACAACGTTGTCTTCTATTTGTGACACATAATAGCGATGATGATGCTGTATGTATATGTAAGTATAAGGGTTATTAAAGTAAGTATGCTTCAGCTTTGTCATAAAGTGTCAAAACTTTAGTTACATTGTCACATTTAATCCTCAAAACCTCTTACCAACACTTCCTGTTGTGATTTTTTTTTTGTAAGAGTGTAACTTTTATTTTTATAAACATGTATATTTATTTGTAGGCCTGACACACCATCTTCCTGCTCAATTTGTAATTTTTTTTTTTTTTTTTTTTTTAGATGCGAGGATAGCACCCGTGTAGCCTCTTACTGGAATGATGACGTCATGTGAAATTCAAGACATGTACTGTACCTGTTTTTCTTATTTTATGATCATGTTTGCTGTAAATATTAACAATGTATCTGATGTGTGGGAAAAAAAACTAAATAAGTCATGCAGTTTAAAATTAAACCTCACAAATTGTCCTATGTTTTTTTGTCATTAACTATTCATTTTTACAACAGTTGCAAAAAAACAAACAATGCTTTGGGGTGGGGATATTACGAATTGGTAGTGTGACTGCAAGTCCCAGGTCACACAGTCAGACTCCAAAGTTTGGCCGCGGTGATTCCCAGTGACAGCTGAACTTTAGGGGCTGCCGAAGAAAAAGAGGAAGATGAGAAAGTCATTTTGGGGCAAAGCAGAAGAACGAGCCAGCGTCTCTGTGGAGCCACGATAAGCCTGCGCGACGCTGCCAACAGCCTTGGAAACAACAAGCTGACTCCATCAACGTCCTGTGTGTGACTCACCTGCAACACCCCAAACTCACCAAATCACTCGCACACAAAACTGCAGTCAACAAGACGCCATCAAGTTGACACCAGAAACGAGCTTACTGTCATTTATTCATTCATTTTTTTCATTCATTATTCATTTGGCCATCACGCCCATTCATTCATTTACTTGACCTAGTATTCTAACCATCATCCATCATGGTTATTGATTTGTTCATTCATTCATCCATTGTCTTCTCATCTTCGTTTTAGCCCCCATCCAGCCAGCCATTCATTTAATTCCATGTATTCATGTATCACTCTATCTTCTGTCCATTATCATTCATCCATTCATTATAATTCATCATTTTTCCATCAATCCTTTCTATCAGCCATAACTACTGCACATGTATCCAGTCATTTCAATTCATTCATTCCAATCTGTATTAGTATCAATCTGCTATCAATCATTCTGCCGTTATCTTTCATTCTTCCATGATATATTTGCCCATCAATCTATTCATTCATTTACTTTACTGTTACATCATTCCAGCCACCATCACCCATCCATCGTTATTATTCATTAATTTATTGTAATCTTCATTTGACCATCCATCCATTCATTTGTTCATTCCGTGTATTCATGTACAGTATCATCGATCTGTTTTTCCACCCACCATTTTTAATTCATTCATCAAACCATTTATTCAATATTCATTTGTCAGTCAATCATTTCATTCCTTTATGAGCTATCTGCGTCACCCACCATCATTCATGCATCCATTGTAATACCTTAATTAATTTATTCATTCCATTTATTCCAGTATCAGTCGACACAGTACGTCTATCATCTTTCACCTTTTCAAGTCATTAATCTATTCATTCATCTACTCTATCTAATCATCCATCCGTCCATCCCTCTGTACTGTAAATCTATCCATTAGTACATGTTCATCCATTCCTTTCTCTGCCACCATCCATCCATCCATCAATCCATCCTAGCATTTGATATGAGTGCGGTTCTGTGAGAGTTGAGAAAGTCGGTTGGATATTTTGTGAATTTGTCTCATAAAAGTGTGACTCATTAAAATGAATGCAGGAGCCATCTTCACATTGACTCCACGCAGCGCCAAATATTTGGGACACGATTCAATCGGCTTGCGCGCCATCAAAATCGATGGCTGTGCACACTTTCAATTACAAACAATTACCTAATGAGGGCAGTGTGGTGCGGGTATTCAGATCATACAACTCAAGTACTGTACATTGGTTAAATGAAGAGGAGACACCAACGATGAAGAAATCGGCGCCGGAATACACGTCAGTGTTTGGCACCAGGAACGATTAAAACATGTTTAAATGGAAGACGGTTTGGGAAGAAATACAGACTCGGTGCATATAAAATAAGAATTTGGTTACGGTGTTTCCTGGAAGCCGAGGAGCGACTATGGACATTATGAAAAAAAACAAGGAAAAGTGCGAAGTTGGCAGGTAAGCACAGGTATGCTGTTTGTGGAAGGATTTGGTTCAAAATGTATTCACATAAGTACATACGCGATGTTCACACATCTACAAATATGTTTGTGATTTTCACATGTTTTTTTATGCATTTGTTATGACTTATAATCTGTAAATACTCCGTTTTGTGTGTAAAGTGTCTAATGTGTGTTTGTGGCTCAGCAGACACACGCATTTACTTTTGACACAAACCTCCTCCGCGTAGATTCAGTGTTGCTGTCTCCACTGAACGGGAACGAGCTAGCTCCCGTTTCTGGTTAAAAAAAACGGAGATTGAAAACGGAAAACGAGCCCTTATCTCATCTATGATATGTTGATAAATACAAGTCAGGAAACAAAATGCTACCTACCCTTTTGTGTTTCCCTCAATCTCCCCCATAAAACACTTGGCGCAGAATTTACAAATGATAAGTCATGACAAATGCACACACAAAAATAAAAAACGAGAAATCACGCATATATTTGTAGATCTTAAAAACGCATGAAAATTGCTGATGTATTTGTGGAGCTGAACCCCCCCCCTCCCCCCCAATAATTTGTACATCAATGCAGATTGGACCTAGTATCGAAACTTGCGGAACACCACTAGTTATCCATCTAATAACTAAAGTGTGCCATAAGTAACATACCTAATGTAAGTAGCATAACTAACGTAACTAAATTAAGGCTCTGAGAACCCTAAAGTAACGCTCTGCTTGCTTGGAGGAGATACAGTAATAAAATCCGCTGAATTTCCCAGGGTGAAAAAGACCTTGTGATGACGCCCATAAACCAATTTAAAATACATTTTTTTGTTGTTCTGATGAAGTCAAACGTGACTTTCAGTGCTTTATAGAAGACTCATTTTTTTTCCAAGGGTGTGTTCATTTGAATGGAGGCAACCAGGGGGCCTTGGGAGAGTTTACTTGACATTTCCATAATGCCAAGCCCGGTGTGGGCTCCCTCTGGTTCTGCTCCAGGTACAGCCCCAATTCGTGCTTTTCGCCACCACCGTCACCATTCGTACCGTTAAAATATGCACATGCCTGCACACGAGCAGATAATTTATGGAAGTAAGCGGTGCCGTTATTTATCACTGAGGCAATGTCGACTTTTTATGTCTCCTGCATGTTTTGTTGATTAATGCAGTGACATCACAACTTCTCGAGCCCTCCATACTGAAGGCAGGTGCAAATTACAAACTGCCATGGATTTTGAGACATGTAGCCATTTATGTCATTTGTAGTACCCTGTAGAGAATATTTTATGGTATTTTTAGAAGTACATTAAAAAAGTATGAATACAATTGGATTTTTTTTTTAAATGAGTAGAAAAGTCAACAAAAGAAAAAAGTTTGCCAAATTGCCAAATTTCAAAAATTACATGAAAAAACCAAAATCAAAATCAACTCATTTACTTTGTAAAATAAATCAGCGATAATTAGATGATCTGGGGATGAAAAAAAATCTAAAAAAACATTCTTGTACTCTGGTAAGCAGCCAGCTCTGAATTGCAAATCCCTTACTTGCATAAATAAATGCGATAATGAAAAAAAAAGAGAAAAAACAGTGCAAAATGTCAACTTTCATATCAAATACAGGCAACAAAACTATATTATTCTAATTTAAAAAAACCTCATTAAAAAAAAATCATAAATAAAAACACACTGAATTACTTTACAAAGTGAATCCAAAATGAATCAACAGCAAAGTCATCTAAAAAATATCTTGGAACCACGTTACTTTTTAAGGGAATAATGACTCTCCATCTCTCTATCTATTGATCGATCAATCTCGATTCATCTCGATATACTTGATATACTTTGAGGAGCAGGTGTATTCAGGCTGCTCAGTCCCCCTTACGGTGTGTGCTGTGCAGCTTCAAAGTTGCGCAGCGTCACCATGGAAGCAGAAACATTTTCTTCCAGGGGGAGGCCGGGCACGATTCCGCGACGGCCCGCTCAAATTCAATGCAGCCAACACAATGAAGAGAAAAGATCTTGTGTCCACAAGACCAACACAGTCAAAAACTAACCTATCAGAAAAAAGCTGCTTTCCATGTCAAAGTAAGGAGACGGAATCAGAGCTAAGCTTATTTACATATTGAATGTTTTCGCATGTTATTGAAAAAAACAAAACGGACCATTCAAAATCTGATTATAATGATGAATGAAAATAGCTTGGAATCAAGACATCGTGTTCATCAAATTATCTCTCAAACACAATAAATGCTTGTGGAGGCTCTCAGTCGTACAGGAAAGTTCCATCGTAGAAAGGGTTCTGTCAGTCGTCATCTGTACCTGTGGGTAAAAAACAAAAAAAAAAAAAAACCCCCCAAAAAAAAAAAAAAAAAAAAAAAAACCAAAAAAGGACGTTTCGCTTCTCTCACAGAAGCTTCGTCAGCGGTAGACAACCCTGAAGTCTCCGTGAAGACTCCGGGAAGTTGCTCTGCGCTAAACACAATAAAGCAATTTCAAATTTCTGATGATGATAAAAGGCGACTTTTCAAAGTTGGGAAACAGCAGACTGATCTATGGTGACAAATAGACTCTTGTCTACGAGGAACAGACTTGTCGCAGCTCGTGGGAATTGCGATAATAAAAATCTCTCACTTGTGTACTTTTTACTCGGCCTTACATTTCATTCATAAACACACTGTACGCATTTATTTTTATTTACTGCCGCCTCTACGATGCTAACTCACGGCCATCTTTGCCAGAGCCGTGATGAATTTTTCAGCGCTCCGTGTGCTTTCTGCTGAATAACCCATGTCGTATTTTAGTAAAGGGGGCACCCGCGCGCGCACACACATATATATCCCAAATCAATATTTCACGGCCATCAATAATTCTGTTTGTCTCCCTGCGGCGCGCTGGCCTCCGCCGCTGCCTCGATGGAGGCGACATGACGGGCTGCATGTCAACAATGTTGCACCAGTACAGCCGAATCGCAAATATCAGGAGGGTGGCATGACACCAAGCCACCGGGAAAGCAAAGAATCGAGAACTTGACGTGGGTGAACTCCACTTTTTTAACGATTGCGATAAATTTGGGGAGATTATAATTTGGTGATTTATATGACAATGCTTACCTCTTTGGGATACTTGAACTTGACATTATGATTTTGATGATATGCAAAGACACTTTTATCCACAACTGAGGGACTGTCATCATCTTCAGTTTTGAAGCTTGGATGCTTGTCCGGAACCAAAAGTGGTATTACAAGACAAGCCTTTGCGCAATAGTGGTCCAAGTCCGAGCACCTTTCAAATCCTTCAATATTCAAGTTCAAGTCAACTTGATTGTCAAATGTGCTACATGTGCAACATACAGCACAGATGAAATGACTTTCCTCTCAACCACAGGAGAGAGAGGAGCCGCTGCAGGTGCCCGTGCCGCCATGATATTCAATGAAAAATGATAAATAACATTGACGTATTGTAATATGCAGATAGACTAGCATCCACCTGAAATCCCGAGTTACTTTGAGTATTCTGTTAATTTCACTTTCTGGGATGTTGGCCCAGTGTTGCACTGATGAATCCGGAAAAGTGCTGAATGCAGTAATTAACCAGACCCGATATGTCGCAATTGGAATTTTGATTCAGACCAGTATTCGTCTGAAAGGTAATTCCTAAGCTCTTCATTTCTGCACTTTAAAAAGAAACAAAAAAGCAAAACTGAGATAGCCCACTCCCCTCTTTTCATCAGTTTGTTACTCGACAGGTTTGGAGGTGCTATTTTTAAAAACGGATTGCAGGACGACGTTTGTTGCTACTGGTGTACGTCAGGGAGCTGCTCTGGTCCCCAAAGGTGGATTAAATTTGAATTATTACAAAAATAAAAACACAAGAGGCAGAATGATTCATTTTTGAAAACTCATGATGGCAATATATGATAATTAAGAATGCTGACAAAATATATACTGTAATACAAAAAAGGTTTACAGAAAAGCAAATCTATCATATTATAAAACACGTTTTAAATAAAATTAAAGTATTAAAGTGAAGAGCAATATTTTTTTAGCTTTTAATTTATGAAATTTATTTGCAAACATGTGTAAAACTACTCTTTACTACCTGGAAAAAAAATCAACCAAATGAATTGAAATTAATATCAAAAGCAAGTGGTAGAAAGAAGAAGAGACAAATGAACTAGGAAATTTACATTCATTAAGTATTAAAACTGCAACATTTCTATAAAATGAATCAGCGTCCAGATTATTTTTTATCAAAATTGAGACGATTAAAAAAAAAAAAAAAACATTGAATATATTCACGGCAATGTATAGTCTGAATCCAATCAGCCTTGGGGGTGGTAATAAGCTGCTCACGCAACTGCAACTAAACAAGCTGCTTTGACTCACGGTGTCTTAACAGCCGCGATGCTTGCCGCCGTTTGCATCAGCAACATTTTAGCATGTCACAATGCAAAAGTCGCACGGCGAGAACACCCGCGTGGCGCGTGTGTGTCTGTGACATTCTCGTCAGGTATCTACTTCCTGGTTTCAGGCCACCATCAACTATTTCACTTCTCACACTTTTTTTTTCCTTTCTACGCATTGGCGATTTCAAGCGTCATTTATTCATATATCTATGTTTATTTTCTGTTCTATTCTTTTGTGACACAAGCAAAGAGCAGCGGGGGCTGGACAACAGTATTTAAATGTCAGCCAAAAATAGCAGCCTTCGTGGGCCTAATCACATGCTTTCGCCATAAACATGTACATTAATGCAGTCGCACGCTTTTGCAGGAACATCAGTGTATCCGCGCGCGTGGATGTGTTTCGGTGCCACAATGGAAACTTCGATTTAAATCCACAGCAGCGCGACTGAATGTGGTTAATAAGCTGCCCGTGGTGCCATTTACCTTGGAAGAGGCGTAAACACAGTGGAAAGTAACCAAGTCACTTCCCCATAACTCTCACTTTTCTCAGTAAAACAACATGAGCTATTTGATGTGAAAGTAACTCCAGTCAAGTAGCAAAGGGGGAAA